AAAAACAGAGGTGAGTTTGTATCAGTGAGTTCTGGGACGGTAGAAACAGGAGCTCCCCCTAGTGTCAGCCCCATGACACCACACTACTCCTCCCTGCTACATTTTCATCATTTAGCAGACACTCTTATCCAGAGTGATTTACAGTTATTGAGTGCAAACATTTTTTAATTTAATTTAATATTTTTTTCATACTGGTCCCCCGTGTGAAACGAACCCACAACCCTGGCGTTGCAAACGCTATGCTCTACCAACTGAGCTACACGGGACTACTCACCTGTTGGAAAGTGTCATCTCTTAACTGGTGTTGAGGGGGAGAGAAAACAATGGGTGTTCATTACAACTTGTTACGCACGCATTTGCTGTTGTTGTTGTTTTTAATGTGTATTTTCCCCCAGTCCATTTTGTTGATCGAATCAAAACAGGTAAACAGATTGTATTGTAAGAGGAGATGGGAAGAAGGCCGGCAGATGGCGACATTGAGTCATTTTCATCTTACCGTCCAAACTCATTGTATGCAGCCGGCAATACATTAGTATCCCTCGTGGACCGGTTCGTACCTAAAACATTCATTCAGGCTGCATAGGCTTCGGGTTCGTCTTTAACTTTATTTAATGGCGAGAAAGCGAAAAGAAAAAGGGGGAAATATGCGTACATTTTCCACCACCATGCTAGAGTGGCTAAATGCTAATTCCGGATGTTATGTATCATGTTCAGCCAATCAGGTTGCAGCAATCTGTTTTTTCATCCCAACCTAACACAGCGCTTTATCGCATTAGTGGAAACCAAAGCTATTCTCAGGGCGCGTCTGCCGGTTTTGACTAGCAGAAGTGACTTTTCGTAGCAGGTTAGGAGAACATATGCAGCAGGTTAGGAGAATTAACGTGGCAGGTTAGGATAATTAAGTTAAGTTTAGGAAAAGGGTTAGCTAAAATGCAAAAATTGTTCCTGACTCAACTCAAACATATCTAGCTACAACCGGGTCTGCCCTGAGAACAGTCTTGGTTTCCACTAATGCGATGCTGCTAATGCAGCAGGTGTAAAAGAAACAGAACCCCTGGTCTGATAGTTTCAACCTGATTGACTGAAGGCGACACAACATCTGGAATTAGCATTTAGCCTTCTCGCCATTAAATAAAGTTAAAGAGGAACCCGAAGCCTATGCAGCCTGAATGAATGTTTTAGGTACGAACCGGTCCACGAGGGATACTAATGTATTGCCGGCTGCATACAATGCATTTGGACGGTAAGATGAAAATGACTCAATGTCGCCATCTGCTGGCCTTTTGGCTAGGAAGAAGCCACAGAGGTCATTCCAATGGAAGGAGTGGTCTGATGTATGTAAAGACATTGCAGTAGTACCTAGGCTTTGTTCTCATGTCAATACTAGCATACTTCTAAGGATCCATGCCCAATACTTTGCTTTATTCTAAATAATGTGCTAGTGGGGATGTTGGACAGAGCTCTAGTCCCAGGGCCTAGTATACAGGTGTTGAGGATGTTGTCATAATGAGATTAAGTCGTCCATTGGGGAGGACATGGAGAATGTTTTTAAGTTTCTTATCACTTGATACTGGGCAGAAAAAGGCATAGATGTAGAAACTCTAGATTGGCCACAGTGTGATAATAATGGTTGGACGTACGTATATGTGAACTATATGTTCATATTGGATATAGGAAGAGTCAGACATGATGACTAGGGGTTTGAGTTTTCCCTGACCATGTAACTTTGACAAGGAAAAACTCTGGTCAGATCACATATTCATGAGAAACTCAGGGCCCCAATGATAATCCGTTTAAATCAAGGGTTTTTAGAGCATATTGTAAATTGTATGTGAAATATTGCAGGAGCCATGTTAGAAAGTGTCAATGTGAAAGTATGTTGAGCCAAATCTAGGTATTGTATGTCCATGATGTGGACACAGAGGATTCTGGCCTGTATCAAGTGGAGGTCTTTGGAGGGGGGAAAATGGTTTGTACCTTACTCAGCAAAATATGAAACCACACAAAGTGCGTACAGGCTTTAGGTAGTTAGGAGCTGTTATCGGGGAAAAGAGAACCTTTCTTCTTTTGTTGTGTTTCCATATGCGTGCATACTCTGTAATTTGTGTAAAATATTGTACTTGCACTAGCTTTTTATATATAAAAAAAAAACAAATTTAAAAAAGGTTACAATTGAAATTCTATTTTCTAATTGTGGTGTATCTATTTGTAGGATACACTCAAGTCTCAAGTTTCTTGGATTTTATGGTTATTTTCTTTGATGGTGCTTGCAGGTTTTCTAGTTAGAATTAATTTCATTATTATTACGAAAAATAAAACAATATTTGTGAACAAATTTGTAAAAAAAAAAATCATGTCTGTATACCAGTTCAAGTGTATTGTTTCAGTATACACAAACTAATAAAATAACAGTGCCAATGCAAGTTCCGGCCTTTTGATTACAGTTAGCATTTAGCGTATTTGCTAGCCAAAACTAATTCTGCGGCACTCGTTTCCAGATGCATTCTTCAGTAACTATGAGAGGAATGTACAGTACAGTAGACAACACATCTGTGGCTTGTTTTGTCTACAGAGGTTCTGTGGAAATAGCGCTCTACTGCCATCAAACATGTCATTAACATTATCCTCTACATCCAACAAACACGTAGCTAGATGTTTCTCATCAAAAGAGAGCCTTCCATTTGACTTTCAAACTGTGTAACCTTGGCTGACTCATTGTAATACTAACACACCAATGCGCCAGGCACACATATGCGCACACAAACACACACACACACACACACCCGATACAGGCACACGTACAACACACACAGATCCACCCGTCCTCACACACATGCGCACAGGCAAATATCTACATATCTACTCACTGCATGTTCTCTGTGCGTGTGCAGATATGTTCTTCCAGTGAGTCCTAGGCACACGGTGTACTGTAAAGTACCTCGTTAATGGGCAGTGGGTGTAGACAGACAGACAGTCAGACAGACGTGGCTGTCTGGAGTATCATTATGCATTAGACCTGGGCTCATTCATTTGAGTTAGTGTCAGTGTAGAGGACTGCACTGAGAACAGATCAGGGACCAATAAACTCTCTGTTACTACGTCAGCTGACTACAACCAGGCCAGACTCGCCATTCATGGCTGGCTGTGTTCCACTATATCCACTAGCATAGACTACTACTTAGAAAGTAGCAACGTATTGGGCTTGCATTGTAAGTAGTGTGTTCATACGGATACATATCGAGGCCCTGTGCACGTTTGCATGCTTGCAATTGTACTGAGTCTGAATCTCTCACAAACAACATTCTTCTGTGGCTATTATCTTCAATATGAAAAATGAAGACATTGACTACTGCACATATCAATGCTTATTACATGCATGCAGTGTTCCACAGTTTCAACAGCTGAACAAACACAACATCTCTTAACCCGGATATGTTCACGTTTACTCACGACAAAGAATACTCTAATCCTTTTTGGGAACTCCATTACTATTACAGCAGGAAGGCTACAGTATGTTTGTTTGTTTTACAGTAGTGTTTAATCCTTGAATGTTCCAGTACAGTAATACAGTGATGTAGTCAGTTAACCCAACAGCTGTGTAATACAGTGATGTAGTAAGTTAACCCAACAGCAGTGTAATACAGTGATGTAGTCAGTTAACCCAACAGGTAAACAGTGGTAGTAAGTTAACCCACAGCAGTGTAATACAGTGGTAGTAAGTTAACCCAACAGCAGTGTAATACAGTGATTGTAGTAAGTTAACCCAACAGCAGTGTAATACAGTGATGTAGTAAGTTAACCCAACAGCAGTGTAATACAGTGATGTAGTAAGTTAACCCAACAGCAGTGTAATACAGTGATGTAGTCAGTTAACCCAACAGCAGTGTAATACAGTGATGTAGTAAGTTAACCCAACAGCAGTGTAATACAGTGATGTAGTAAGTTAACCCAACAGCAGTGTAATACAGTGATGTAGTAAGTTAACCCAACAGCAGTGTAATACAGTGATGTAGTAAGTTAACCCAACAGCAGTGTAATACAGTGATGTAGTAAGTTAACCCAACAGCTGTGTAATACAGTGAGTGAGTCCACAGCTCCGCATTTAGTTAACCCAGCATTCCTGACATTCCACTGGCCTGATTGTGCTTCCGTTCTCTTCCCGCCACACCCAGAGCACTTTCACAGAGTCACACAGAAAGCAGAGAAGAGCAGACACTACCACACTGTATTAACCCTCTCACTGTGCTGAAGCCTGATCTTATTTAGTCAGACACATTAAGAGCTCCTGTAAACTACAGCACATCCTAACATTACATTCAGCAATGGCTTCATAAAATTAAAGGCCCAGTGCAGTCAAAATAAACGTGAGTTTCCTGTGTTTTATATATTTTTCCACACTATGAGGTTGGAATAATACTGTGAAATTGTGAAAATTATGATAATGCCCTTTTAGTGTAAGAGCTGTTTGAAAAGACCGCCTGAAATTTCTGCCTGTTATGGTGGCATAGAGTTTTGGCCTGCCTGGTGACATCACCAGGCGGTAAATTACTTAATAGACCAATAAGAAAGAGAGTTCCAAACCTGTCTGCCAATAACAGCTAGTTTTCAGTTTTCCCCTCCATACTCAGACCACTCCCAGACAGTCCTAGCAAAATTGTTTTATGCTAAGAAACAAGATAACTAATAATGTAAGCATACTGTGTCCATAATAATTATATAGGTTGTATGTTGGGAGCTTTTGGTGTAGATAGTAAGTATAGGCTGGAAGTAGAGGCCTGGGCATTGTTGTTCACTAATTTACCCCAAGTAGGGAAAGGATGGTGGGGTTGAAAAGTAATAAAGGGGAGTATATATATAAAAAACATGGGGGATTGGAAGTGATGCAGACAATTACATTGATGGAAGTTACAATCTATCTGCAATATTAAGCTGATCTACCGCCAAAAAAAAAAAAAAAAAAAAAAAAACTTTAATTGAAAACAATCACAGTAAGGAACTTCATTGTTACCCAGAAATGATTTGATATTGAGATAAAAACGGCTGCATTGGACCTTAATATTATCAGTCTAGAGAGGGAATCGCCAGGTAAAGCACTCAAAGCCAGCATGCAGTTATTGCAATATCTAAGTAATACCCACTGAGGATGGACAGAGTAGTAAGGTTTCAAGCAACCCTAACTGGCTCTTGCATATTTTATTTCTGTAGAGCAGGCTGAATGTTTTAAATCATGTTCTGATAATATTACTCACAATTTTACGTAAGAACCAAATGTGCAGAGCATGTTACAACAGAGGTCCTGAGAGAAACACATTTGTAGTGATGGTGGTAGGTGTGTGTGTGTTTTCATGTTTGTGTGTGTGTGTGATTAGTGGAACATGGTGCTGGCCTGCTGTGTGACTCTGATAAAGGTGGTTCTGCGACTGAGCTCCTTCAGTTTAGCAGCTCCTACGTAGGTACAGGTGGAGCGGAGGCCCCCAAGGATATCTCTGATGGTGTTCTCTACATCTCCTCTGTAAGGAACTTCCACCGTTCTACCCTCTGACGCCCTGCAGAGGGAGAGGAGAACATCAGCACCAACTCAGTATATCTAATAACGCTGAGACAATGTTCAAGCAACATCATGGTGATGTTACTGATCATGATTACAAATCATTTTTATGGAGAGGACACTTAAATGTTGCCTTTTACATCACAATGGTGGCAGCAGTGGGATGTTGAATAACAAAGGTGAGTAAAATAAATGTATTTCACTGGGTATTATACAAAAAAAACAAAGAAACCATGCAACCTTCACATCAACAAGTTCAATGTCCTAAGCACTGATTCCCCATCTGCCCCCTCACAGTTACATCCAACAGGTCCTTTAGCATGCTCTTGCCCATATTGACTGATAGTGGTTGGTAGGTGGCTGTGTCACCTGTACTCGGCCACTCCCCCTACGTATTTTTTCATGGCAGTGTCGGAGCTCATCCCATAGAACAGCTTGACCTTCTTGCCATCCTTCTCGACGACCTCACCCAGACACTGGTCGTGTCCCGCCAGCATGCCCCCCATCATCACAAAGTCAGCCCCCGCACCTGTGGATGAGGTTGGAAGCCAATCAGCAACCAGCCATGGACAAGATCAGGTAGTTAAAAATGTTTTCCCCTTATTGAACAAGGCCCTGCTGTTAATATACAGTCTAACGACCGTTCACACTCAATGTACTAACGGCAGTTATGAAGGCAGGTGTTTCTGTTAGGACAGGGGTGTCAAACACATTCCATGGAGGGCCTAGTTTCTGCTGGTTTTTGGTTTTTCCTTTCAATTAAGATCTAGACAACCAGGTGAGGGGAGTTCCTTACTAATCAGTGACCTTAATTAATCAGACACTCGGCCCTCCGGTGGAATGAGTTTGACACGTGTGTTAGGGGGTCCACATACCGAAAGCTTTAGCCACGTCGCCTGGGCAACTGCAGCCACCATCCTGTGGAAGAGAAAGACATTGTTGGTGTTGTTCAGCTCTTAGATTTTAATATAGATATATAGCTCTTAGATTTGCAATTTCAATAATGGTTTGTATTTACAGTGCCACTTCATGCAGAAAATCATGTTTGCTTCTTTCCCTTTCATAGCGACTTACTATTGCAAGACTAATACTGCCCTCTAGAGGGAACACGTTGCTACAGAGATTATTGCGCCAAGATTTGTTTGTCATGGCTGCTTCTGTATTACTAACGAATAGAGAAATGTGTCAAACAACTTGTCATCCGATACTTTGTCAATCCCAAGACAACTCAATATAGAGAGATGACTCAAACAACTGGATAGCGTATCTACAGTCGTGTGTGTGTGTGTGTGTGTGTACGTGCGTATGTGGTGTGTGTGTGTGAGGGGGTTCTCACTGAGATAATATGTCCCTTGAGGCCATGGGCGGAGTCTGCACACTCGATGACCGCGCTGAGCTGAGGGTAGCCCACCCCGGTCTTGATACGGGTGGTACACACTGAGCCTGTCAATAGAGAGGTCATTCATTATTACTGTTACATATCAAATAAGTTCATTAATACATGCACCATAATATAGTCTTTATACTGTAATTCCTCACCCCGGTCATTCCAACATCCCCTTATGCTGCATTAGAGGATTTATTGAATGTCTTTGTTTATTGCCCAAAGCAGTTAGTGAGCTTGGCGTGTGTGTGTAGAGATGGAACAGATGTGGACAGTCTTAGATTGATGCACCCACCTTGCCAGGGGGAACACATAGACTGACGCACCCACCTGGCCCGATGCCCACTTTGATGATGTCAGCGCCAGAGAGAATGAGCTCCTCCACCATCTCCCCTGTCACCACGTTGCCAGCCTGCACGCACACACACGCACACACACACACACACACACACACACACACACACACACACACACACACACACACACACACAGGGAAAATAAAGAGCCACAGGCCTCCAGATGACTAGATAATAGTCATTATTAGGACACTTCTGTCTTGCTTCTGTCTTGTTAAACAGACGAAGGAACAACCTCACCCCCTCCACAACCTTTCAGAAGGAACAACCTCACACCTTTCATGACCTTTTAGAAGGCACAACCTCACAGCTTTCATGACCTTTTTTAATGCTTCATACATACATGAAGCAAGCAGAAGACACAAAACAACCACATGAAACTGTTTTGCAGCTCGTTGTGGTTGACTAAGGCTGTGTTTACACAGGCAGCCCAATTCTGACTTGAATGGCAACCTATTTCCTGATCATCTGACGGCTATAGATAGATCATGATGTGGACACATAATAGATAAAAACCTGGATTAAACTAAATTAATTTTGCATATCTGTATTCATGTTTGCTCAAATGTATTATTAATAAATGAAAAAAAATTGATCACAAAAAAGTTAATGCTGACTAAACTATAATCCATAACTCCATAAAGAAGAGTTAAAATACAGAGAACTCTCATCTTACCATGATGGTGTGTTTGGGGAACTTGTCCCTGACGGTTTTCACGAACTCCACAAAGTACTCTGAGTAACCGTTGGCTACGTCCAGACAGATGTATTTTATGTCAGGGATAGCCTCCAGGATCTCACACAGTCTCTCTAGATCAGCCTTACCACTGCCAGAGCTGGCCGCTATGTGCTGGAGGTCAACAATACAACAATGCAGTTTGAGCAATTAATTCAATTAAAATACTTTATTTATCCCCAAGGGGCAATTACTTTAGTATTTTACAAGCCTTACACATCATAGACAGTGTTCACACCATGGGGGACATGAAAGAGTATCTGTGGGGACTTCCTGTTTTACCTCTAAGCATTCTGGGTGGTTGACTGCAAAGGTCTTCCACTCATCCAGTGAGTAGTGCTTCTGCATGGCCGTGAAGAGTGTGTGCTGGAGGGAGATATGGAGAGAGAGTAAGTCAGTCTGTTAGTCATTATGTCCGTCCGTTTATCCGTCCGTCAGTCAGACTGTCAGTCAGCCAGTCAGAGTGGGATGAAAGTGAAATGCTGTCAGTGTGTTACACTCACCTTGCTGAGGACCCGGGCCATCTCAAAGGTCCCTGTGGTGTCCATGTTGGCAGCGATGATGGGGATGCCATGGTAGGTCTGCTTAGAGTTACGGAATGTGAACGTCCTTGCCAGGTCAACCTGAAGGCAATGAGATAGAAGTTGATTTAGCATGCAGACACAACTGGACATCAAGCCAGGGTTAGGGTTAGTGCCATCCTGTCATCATATGAAAGGGGTGGCCTTTCTGGGCTTGAGTTAAACTGAGTGGACTATGAGTCAGCTCAGTGCTACGGACCGGTGACAACCAGGCCTGGCCGAGGCCAAGCCAGGAGCTCAATTTAATCACCCCCCAGGACAGAGGCGGTGGATAAGGGATGTAATACAATGATGGACCTGATTAAATGGGGACCTCCTCCACAGGGTTCTTCATGATTAGGGGTCTTTGTCCGCAGCCTGGATAACATATTTTTAGATGAAGTCTAAGTACAGCACATCGTGCAGGCAAAAACATATGTTAATAAAACATCCTTATAACTTGCTGAAGGGTAAAAGCTACCTGATTCCACCTGATACCAATCTACTTATTCCCCCTGCCCCAATTTACAGACCAAGGCCTTTGACATACACACACAGTAGGATGGGTTACATACTGTACACGAGCGTGAAGGTGAAGCTTCAGGCTTTATCCAACTCACAATATGTGTCTGTGCTGCTGAGACAGAGAGCACTTCACTATGTTGAAGGGGATGTGCTGAATCATTTAGATTAGCTCTGGTGGCCTGTAACTGGACCCCTAGTGATCTCAGAGAGAGAGACAGCGAGAGCGAGCGAGAGAGAGAGAGAGAGAGAGAGAGAGAGAGAGAGAGAGAGAGAGAGAGAGAGATTGGCCAAGGGTGGTACTGCACAGCTCAAAGCTCTGTCTACTCAGCAGCAGGTCGTTTGGTTGGTTCTTGTCTAGGAGCTCGGTTGGCTGGAGAGTGACTGACTGGTTTAATCCTGGGTCTCTAAGAAGGACATCACTCATAGCTTGACACCAGTAAGTGTTTGCTGATCAATAGCTAAAGTGAATATAATTTCTTCTGAAATTGCCAGCCTCCTCTTCATTTCACAGACAGCACTTAATGTTTAATCTCCATCTCCACATTAAATGACACTACTCCCTTGAGGGGAGCAACATTTTATAGCCCCACATTTCATTACGCCAGCATTACATGTCCAGTCAAGGAGAGATGGGGCTGGGCGGTGGGAGAGGTGAGAGTGTGAATGACCAATGTTCCGGTTAGAGCAAAAAACTCCCTCTGCCTCTGCTCTTTTCCCGTGAACTCCACCTGTGACTGGACGTCCACTAGTCTCTCTGTTTAATGGGGTTTCTGTGGCCTGTATCTCCTTCTTTCGCTACACTCTCTCTCTCTCTCTTTCTCTCGCTCTCTCTCTCGCTCTCTTCTCTCTCTCTCTTCTCTACTATCTCTCTCTCTCTCTCTCTCTCTCTCTCTCTCTCTCTCTATCTCTCTCTCTCTCTCTCTCCTCTCCCTCTCTCTCTCTCCCTCTCCCTCTCCTAGAGGAGTAATGGTAGGTGCCTGGCTCCACTGTGGTCTCAGCCCTGGAGTGACTATGGCTGTAGATCACCTGGACTAAAGCTAGAAACAGGGAGGCTAGGAGGCAGGGGGGCTGGAGGTTTGGTGTTGGAGCAGGGAGGCTCGGAGCTGGGCTTGGGGGTTGGGATTTGAGGAGGGAGGCTGGGAGGCTGGGAGCTGGCTGGGGGGTTGGGGTTGGAGCAGGGAGTCTGGGAGCTGGGCTGGAAAGGAGGGAGGCTGGGAGCTGGGCTGTAAAGGAGGGAGGCTGGGAGCTGGGCTGGTGGGCAGGGAGGCTCGGAGCTGGGCTGGTGGGCAGGGAGGCTGGGAGCTGGGCTGGGGGGCAGGGAGTTGGGCTGGAGGGCAGGGAGTTGGGCTGGAGGGCAGGGGTTGGAGCAGGGACGCTGTTGATGCAGGTCAGTCCATCACTGCAGGCCCATGAAACACTAGCCTGACAAAGAGGGGGAACCGCAGCCTTTCCACTCCACACCAACCTGGACTCAGGGGTAGACATAACATATGAAATGTAAATCTGTCTTTCATCATTTATTATGATATGTTATGTTTCGTATTAATTTGTGGATGGATGTCCATCATCCATTTCATATGATATGTTACGATTTGGAATTCATACAAAATGGTACGAATTTGCAATACATATGATATGTTACGAATTCCAATTTGTTGCAGCTAACGTTAGCTAGATGGCTAACGTTAGCTAGGCTAGGCTAGGGGTTATGGTTAGGTGTTAAGGTTAAGGTTAGGGGTTAAGATTAAGGTTAGGGGTTAAGGTTAGGGGTTAAGGTTTCTGTCTTCTACGTAACCATACCATAACATATCATACTATTTTGAGTGTCACAGATGTATGTTTAGGCCAGGTGTCTTTGAAGTCAGGCTGTCCACACACACCCCCTGACGTCATGCTGCAGTGGAGCTCAGGGAGGGACGGAAAGAGAGGGACGGAGGGAGAGAAGGGAGGGAGGGAAAGAGAGGGACAGAGGGAGAGAAGGGAGGGAGGGAAAGAGAGAGGGAGGGAGGGAGAGAAAGAAAGAGAGAAAGAGAGAGGGAAGGGAGGGAAGGAGGGAGGGAGAGAAAGAAAGAGAGAAAGAGAGAGGGAAGGGAGTCTCCACTTCAGAATTTCCTCTTATGCCATGCTGCGTGGTATAGCTGCCATCTCCTTTCACATCTAAACACTGATCCCAACTGCTACTGCAGTCTTTTTCCTTCCTCTTCTGATGCAGGCTATCCAATCCAATGTACTAGGGCGTGGCTGATTATCTGTACATCATTATATGTACATGATATGTCCATCCATACATTCAATACTGAAGTCTCAGTGTTAAATTGGAAGCTATTATGCATAATGATGTAAAATACTGTAGTTGTGATGTGTTGTGGAGCTCAGCTGTAAACAGTGTGTTATAAGGCAGAAGCTGTATCACCCGGTGGCTGTCCAGAGAGACAGTAGAATACTACAGCAGACAATAGCAGAGCTGCCTGGCCGCAGGCACTGAATGAATGAACACTGAACAGATGGGAGGAAAGAATGTGTCCTCCCATGGTACACTCCAGTGTGTCTGCTACTCTACAGCAGATATGCATGTCTGTTGAACCTTGGATGTGCGTATTAAATGGTATGAGTGTTTGTGTGGGTGTGAGTGAGTGAGTGTGTGTGTGTGTGCGCTTATCTCTGTGTGTTATTCCGGTAGGCCTTCTGCATGTGGAAAATGCTCTCATTGACAGTTAGCACACAGAGCTCTGTAGGACTATTTTTAAACTGATTTTCCAAGAAGCGTCCTCCTGTCTCATGTTGCCCCCTACGTTAACACAGAGTAAACTGTGATGCCAAACTACATGGTTTAGTGTCTGGGGTTAGTTTTAGGACCCAAAACCAAGGTAAGAGCTGACATGCCATAGGCCTAGCCTGGGCTAATGGCTCCTGTCTTGACATGACTGTATGCTTCTACACAGCAGGCCTAAAACAAACCCTTGTCTCCGTCACCCATGAGAAGGTCACCCACTCCCCTGAGTCCCTCCCTCTCTTTCTTGTTCAGATTTCTATCATGCACACATACACAACTCATACATATATTTATACTGAGTACCCTCGATTTAAATGACTCTCAAATTAATCAAGTAGTCTGACATGTCTTCCTTCTTGAGATACACTAGCCAATTTTAGTTACAGATCAATAACATCAATACCAGCAACTACAACTAGGTAATAAGATGTTCCCTGTAATAACGCCAAGGACACAAACAACACACAGCAAACCCAGAGGAACACAACTTACAATTCCCCATCCCCTTACCTGCAGTCCCCTACCCCCAGTCCCATACCTCCAGTTCTGCATTCCCCAGCCCCCTCCAGGCTTACCTCTGACCTGCTCTTCAGACTGCTCCTTTTGGGTCTGAACAGGACATCCTTAAAGTCCAGTTTGAGGTCTGCATCTACGCGGGGCATGATTGCTGAGGTTGCTACAACGGAGGCTGAGTTATGGAGGATCACTGAGGAGGCTCTTCTGAGGCACCAGGTTACTGTGGTCTTCGTAGGTCCCGAGCCCCAGCCACCAAACCCGAACCTCCAGGAGAGCAGCGTATTTATAGTGTCTGGGGTGCCGTCCTGGGCCAGGCTCACATGGCTTTATTTGGCGTGGCCCCGGACTCTTTTTCCCCTTCCCTCTCTCTCCCTCCTCTCCCTCCTCTGTTTCCCTCTCCTCTCTCTTTCCTGCAATAGAGTGGCAGCAGCCGCGTAGGTGACACACACATATATTGTAAACACACACGCCTTAATGTAGGCATACTGCAGTGGAACACAGCAGCACTGTAGAGCACACCTGCTGTCCAGTAGAGGCATTACTCTCTGTGCAGCCCGGACACTGATATCAATTGAGAGAGAGAGAGAGAGAGAGAGAGAGAGAGAGAGAGAGAGAGAGAGAGAGAGACTTAACATTTACCTACCGCAATGAAGGTGTAAATTTGGCCGTTTGGAACATAAACTTTATATTTCACAAATTAGCCTCCTTGGCTAATCTAAGGAAACATAACAGCAAACCAAAAAGAATAGATAATGAAAAATGGTTTGATAATGATTGCAAAAATCTAAGAAAGTAATTGAGAAATATATCTCATCAAAAACACAGAGACCCAGAAAACAAAAATATACGCCTTCAATATAGGGAAACACTGAAGCAATACAAACACAACCTAAGAACAAAAAAGGAACAGCACATTAGAAATCAGCTGGATGTAATTGAGGAATCCATAGAATCAAACCACTTCTGGGAGAATTTGAATAAATTAAACAAACCTCATAATGAGGAATTGGCTATCCAAAATGGGGATATGTGGAGAAATCACTTTGCAAACCTCTACAGCAATATAACAAAGAGCCCAGAACAACAAGATATACAAGAAAAATTACAAATCCTTGAATCAGCAGTCAAAGACAATCAGAATCCTGTGGATACCCCAATTACAGAACAAGAATTATTGGAAAAACTTTGCCCTCTCCAACCCAAAAAGGCCTGTGGTGCTGATGGTATTTTAAATGAAATGATCAAATATACAGACCACAAATTAAAATTGGCTATACTCAAACTCTTCAACATTATCCTAACTACTGATATTTCCAACCAAGGATTGATCACACCAATCTATAAAAATGGAGACAAATTTGACACAAATAATTAGAGGAATTAGCGTTAACAGCAACTTGGGGAAAATTCTCTGCAGTATCATAAACAGCAGACTACATCATTTCCTTTATGAACACAACGTCCTAAGCAGAAGCCAGATTATTATCTTTTTTAATTATCGTACAACAGACCACATTTATACCCTCCACACTCTAATTGGCAAACAAGTAAACCAAAACAAAGGCAAAATCTACTTGTGTTTTGTAGACTTCAAGAAAGCATTTCATTCAATTTGGCACGAAGGTCTTTTTTACAAACTAATAGAAAGTGGTATTGGAGGGAAAACATATGTGCGGTAAAAATCGGCAACAAGCAAACAGACTTTTTCTCTCAGGGACATGGAGTGAAACAGGGCTGCCCAATAAGTCCAACACTATTGAACATCTACATTAATAAATTGGCAAAAACATTAGAAAAATCGGCAGCACCTGGTCTCACCCTACACAACACTGAAATCAAGTGTCTGCACGCAGATGACTTGGTGCTACTGTCTACCACTAAGGAGGGGTTACAGCAGCATCTAGATCATCTGCACAGGTTCTGTCAGACCTGGGCTCTGACCGTTAATCTAAAAAAACAGAATATAATGATATTCAAAAAAAGGTCAGGAAATCAGGATGACAAATACAAATTCTATTTGGACACAGTTCTATTAGAACACACCAAAAATTACACTTATCTAGGACTAAATATCAGCAACACAGGTAGCTTTCACATGGCTGTGAATGAGCTGAGAGACAAAGCAAGAAGGGGCATTCTATGCCATTAAAAGGAATATTAAAATCGAAATTCCAATTAGAATCTGGCTCAAAATCTTCCAATCAGTTATAGAACCAATTGCTCTATATGGCAGCGAAGTATGGGGTCCACTCTCTAATACTGAATTTACCAAATGGGCCAAACATCCAATCGAAATACTGCATGCAGAGTTTTGCAAGACTGTATTGCAAGCGCAAAGAAAAACTCCAAATAACGCATGTAGAGCAGAATTGGGCCAATACCCCCTCCTTATTCGAATAGAAAAAAGAGCCATCAGATTTTACAACCATCTAAAAACAATTGACCCCAAAACATTCCATCACACACCTCTACTATGTCAAGAGATTAAACAAGAGAAGAGTCCCCTCAGCCAGCTGGTTCTGAGGCTCAGTTCACTAACCAAAACCAACCTCATAGAGCCTCAGGACAGCACTCAAAAAATCTGGCCCAACAAAATCATCACAAAACAAAAAGAAAAATATATCACCTATTGGAAATACACCACAAAAAATCTAAGTAATCTTCAATGCTATTTGGCTCTAAACAGACAGTACATGGTGGCAGACTATCTGACCACTGTGACTGATAGAAAACTGAGGAAAACAATGACTAGGTACAGACTCAGTGAGCACAGTCTGGCTATAGAGACCGGTCGTCACAGGCAAACCTGGCTGCCCAAAGAGGACAGGCTGTGCTCACTCTGCCCCCGGGGAGAGGTAGAGACAGAGCTGCATTTCCTATTACACTGTGACAAATACTCAGACCTAAGAGAATCTTTCTTTCCCAAAAGTATCATTCAGTACAAAGAATTTGAAACTATAAAAGAGGAAGAAAAAATCTAATATTTATTGGGTGAAATTTTGGCAGCCAAAAATGTGTCCTCCTGTCAGAACCTAAGGGACAACCAGTGAAAAGTGTAATGTAATGTCAATAATATTTCCTGTTTTGTTTTGGCTTTCATACCATGTAATGTGTCTTCTCAGTCATGTTGAGACTGGTCGACTACTATTGCTTTAATGTAGCTTAGTGGTTAAGAGCGTTGAGCCAGTAACAGAAAGGTCACTGGTTCTAATCCCGGAGCCGACAAGGTTAAAAATGTGTCGATGTGCCCTTGAGCAAGGCACTTAACCCTAATTGCTCGTAATCCCATTTCCACTACTACTATTATTATTATTGCTGTTGGTCCCACCATTTTTGTTGTATGTATACTTTGACAATGTAAGTCATTTAACCTGCCATGTCAATAAAGTCTATTGAATTGAATTGAGAGAGAGAGAGAGAGAGAGAGAGCGAGAGAGAGAGAGAAAGAGAATAGAAAGAGAGAGAGAGAGAGAGAGAATTGAGGAGAGTAGAATGATAGGGAGAGTTTGTGGATAATCCTTATTTTCCTCTTTAATTTTCTTAATGTAATTTCAAATACAAACGTGTTTTTCAAATTGTTTTTTCAGGGCATCACACATTTCACAATGTGTTTATTACTTTCAAGGATCTCCCCCTACTTTTAACTTTTATTTTATTTATTTATTTTTAACGACACACAAAAAATGTTACTTTAAGCATACTCACTTTGGCCACAAGGTGTCACAATAGTTTAGGAAATACAGCCGTGTCTGCTTCGGTAGGCTACTTAACTTTGTGATACAGTTTAGCTTTTCCAGGTACATTTCCAAGATTCAAAATCCAGGGTTGAACTCCGGGTCAAACTCATATCTCCTCTACATAAAAGTGTGATAACCTCACAGTGATAACTGTGATAACCATGATAACTGTGATAACCTAAATTAATTACATCATATACAGTATAAAGCCAACTCATGATGTTAATAACCATCTGATCTTTCACCCGTTTAACAGTATAGCCTTCTTACTGTACCTTATCATAAGGAGACACAGAGACACAGCAGCACGCTGACCTGCTAAAAAGCATTAATATATAGTTAATCAGCAATATAAGCCAGTCAGCCCATATCTCAGTCAGCCCATGTCTCATGCAAGCCAATGATAATAAGTGGGGCAGTCTGTGTTACAGAATGTACACCATAAAAAACCTGTGTCAGCGTGTTAGAGTTGAAGTTGAGGCTTCACGTCTGTCTCTGTGTGTGCTGTGTAATATAGGGGTGTTTTTATGACACTGGAGAGATAGATAGATAGATATATGATGTACAGTGAGGGAAAAAAGTATTTGATCCCCTGCTGATTTTGTACGTTTGCCCACTGACAAAGACATGATCAGTCTATAATTTGAATGGTAGGTTTATTTGAACAGTGAGAGACAGAATAACAACAAAAAAATCCAGAAAAACGCATGTCAAAAATGTTATAAATTGATTTGCATTTTAATGAGGGAAACAAGTATTTGACCCCTCTGCAAAACTTGACTTAGTACTTGGTGGCAAAACCCTTGTTGGGAATCACAGAGGTCAGACGTTTCTTGTAGTTGGCCACCAGGTTTGCACACATCCCAGGAGGGATTTTGTCCCACTCCTCTTTGCAGAACTTCTCCAAGTCATTAAGGTTTCGAGGCTGACGTTTGGCAACTCAAACCTTCAGCTCCCTCCACAGATTTTCTATGGGATTAAGGTCTGGAGACTGGCTAGGCCACTCCAGGACCTTAATGTGCTTCTTCTTGAGCCACTCCTTTGTTGCCTTGCCGTGTGTTTTGGGTCATTGTCATACTGGAATACCCATCCACGACCCATTTTCAATGCCCTGGCTGAGGGAAGGAGGTTCTCACCCAAGATTTGACGGTACATGGCCCCGTCCATCGTCCATTTGATGCGGTGAAGTTGTTCTGTCCCCTTAGCAGAAAAACACCCACAAAGCATAATGTTTCCACCTCCATGTTTGACGGTGGGGATGGTGTTCTTGGGGTCATCGGCAGCATTCCTCCTCCTCCAAACACAGCGAGTTGAGTTGATGCCAAAGAGCTCGATTTTGGTCTCATCTGACCACAACACTTTCACCCAGTTCTCCTCTGAATCATTCAGATGTTCATTGGCAAACTTCAGACGGCCCTGTATATGTGCTTTCTTGAGCAGGGGGACCTTGCGGGCGCTGCAGGATTTCAGTCCTTCATCATTGACAAGATCCTCCCGTGTAGTTCTGGGCTGATTCCTCACCGTTCTCAAGATCATTGCAACTCCACAAAGTAAGATCTTGCATGGAGCCCCAGGCCGAGGGAGATTGACAGTTATTTTGTGTTTCTTCCATTTGCGAATAATCGCACCAACTGTTGTCACCTTCTCACCAAGCTGCTTGGCGATGGTCTT